ATGTCGCATCAGAAGCGTCTCAGGAAGGAGTCTGCAAGCCTGGACACGGCTTGGCCCAGAAGCTGTTCGGAATAAACCAGTCAAGCATCTTCCTTCGGAATTCGCTTGGTGAGTGCCATAACGTGAGCACAAGGCGTCTTTGTTCTGGAGAAAGGGGCAGACCAGATGACCGGGTGGTATACGTCAGAACGCATCTCTCCGGATCGAGACTGCCTCACGAGGTCGCGAAGGTCACTCGGAAATTGAAACGAATAATGAAGGAACAGCCAAGGACACCTAGATTTAGTCATATGCTCGCGAGAAGAACGAGGGGAATGGGTAACAATAGAGCAAGGTCACCATCATTTAGTTTGAAGGCTGATGACAGTTCGCCGTGGCAGGTTAGATAACACGACATCCCGGAAAGGGTGACAGATTTCCAATGCAGGCTAGAATCTGGCATTAAGTCGTAAACCCCTTAGGTTCCTGCATTGGTGACGCAAAGAGAGCGTTATGTCCGAGGACCGTGGTCTCATCTGCCAGTGGGTGAGAGGTTCTTAATAAAGGCGTGCAGACAAATGCAAGAAATTTCAGGGATGCGGCGGTGCAGCGTGCGCAGGCTATGTACCGCTGAAATAGAGAAGAACGCTGCCCACCCGAAAGTAGGGCTTCGGACCAGGAGCGTGCGTCTTTCGAGCACGGTTCGTCCAACGTTCCATACGCCGTAGACATATCTCGTTAGTTACCAGTAACCTTTGTCATAATATCGACTGCATGTGGGGGGGATTCCTAGTAACAATGCTCTGGCATGACACGAAGAATGCACAGGTCAATGCCTCCCATCCTCAGTACCTGAGCGGAAACACAACATCCATGTGGGCAAGTTGAACGCGAATGCGACCGAGACAGTTGCTTTCCCCGCTTCTTGCTGCTATATTCTATATGTTAGTCTAACGATACGAGTCGAAACAGTGAATTCCCACCGTGACATGTGCATGGACCCCCGGCACGGCTGACGACCGAGACGGCTCATGCCCTTGTCGCACCTAATAGGACATGAGCATTGACGATATGGACGGCCATCATTAGAAAGACGCTCACGGCGCTCGCCTGTTGTGTACCCACAGACCCTTGTTCATTACTGGCCGCGTCCCCGTTCCGATGGCTTGCTTCAGCCGTCTTGATATTTCCTTTAGTCTGTAACGCACGATAAACAACGACGCCAATAAATAGAGTGAACAACGAACCATATTGGGGGATTTCCAGACCGTTCGCTGAGATTACTCGTCAGATAAACCACCACCGTTTTGTCTATAGTGAAGAGAACACTCACTCGCGCGCGTTGTCCTGCAGCCATCGTCGGGGGTTCCTTTCTGGGGGTATTCTCCCTCGACCGTAACTGGGAACGAAAGCCAAGATTGAGGGACCGACCAGACCTTGTGGCGGGCTGATCAGGCGATTGCGAACCCTGATCCCTGGTAGTCTTTTTGAATCTCCCTGGAAGCCACCTTCCGACTGCCGAAATGCTTTTGGATGAACCAGGTGTATCGAGAGGTTTCGTTGGAGAAGACGTTTTGGGAGGAGAGACGATGGATAGGGGACCCGCCAACTGCGGTATGGCCAGGAGTGAGCGTGGCGGCGTTACATGAACTTCGCGCGGTATGACAGAGGATGCCGGGGACGGCGGCTCGAGCAATGTCAGCACGAAAGCAAGCCAATCAAACCGTCACAGACCTCAGTGTAGTCAAACAGTTGCGCGGGAGTCCCAGACGGCAAGTCGACCTCACGCTGTCATGAAAACCAACATCGGAAACGGAAATAACTAAAGTCCTACCTCGAGCAAATCATCACCACTGTCCTTGAGGTGGGACTCTGAGTCGGGTTGACCTGACGTTGTGGGCTGTTCCTTGGGTGGGAAGAATCAGTGCGACTGTTTCGGTGACAGAGTGCTAACGTTGTACCGGAGTCGAGTCTGACGGCTTTTTGTCACGGACATCCAATGTCGAAGGCTGCTTATCTAGTCGTTGCTGTGGCTCGTCTTTAGGTGTGTCCAGTTCCGAGTCTTCTGGAGTAGGTGCCTAATGTCAAGGGAGGGAAGTGAATGTGTAACTTACCCGACAAGCGAACGTTGTGAATGCACCAATGCTTACCAGGAAAGGACCATACAACTCTGGCAGGAGATTGCTAAGACTACGAATCGTGATATTCTCTTTGCGTCCTCCGGTCGCAAGATAGCTGCAATTCGGGGATAGAGCAATTGACCAAATCTGTTGGCTGACCTCGATGACTGTTCCTATCTGAGAGTGTGTCGACGTGTCCCAGAACGTGATGGAGTGGCCTGCAAAGGTAGCAAGGAACTTCCTGTTGGAGGCTAGAGCGATAGACTCTACGTCGCCGTCACCGTGAACTTGCCACTCGGCCAGTTGTGACCCGGTGGATACGTCGAAAGACATGATTGTCTTGCTGCCAGACGCGACAAGAATATGCTGATTGCTTGACCACCCAAGCGGCGTAATCGCGGACCACCTTGTCCTGGAAACCCCAATGTTTTTGATCTTGACGAGCTGGTCACCGTTGTGGCTGTCAAAAGACACGGAGAGTGTTCTCCGCCGGACAGACGGTGGCGATTCGTTCGCCGTTCGGCGAGAACTTGACACCGCTGATGGCAGGACCATCATGTTGGAGTGGGCCAACCAGGCTCCCCCCAGTCAGGATGTTCCAGACCGCGAAGCCCGCTTTCCTATGACCCCGCTGGGTACCTGTGGCAAACCTGGTTGAGTCCGGGGAGATGTCCACTGTGTTGATATCTGTTCCGCTCTCCACTTCGATGGCCTTTTCCTGGGTTTTCGCGTCCCACACGCTTGCCCCCTTGTCAGTCCCACACACTATCCACTTGCGATCCCTCGACACAGAAATGGCATTGGTGGAGACTGTTCCCATTTACCACCTCTTGACCGTCCGCAACTCGCCATCGTCGAACCCCATCCCCACTCCCGCTGAACAAATGCGCTCCGTCTGGGTGGAAAGTGACCGAGTATATTGCACGAGGGTTACCGGTTTCGATCACTATTGCCTCATCTTCTGATTTTTCAGCAAATGTTGTACTGGCAATAACTCGCGAGAACTGCTGGAACATACCGGTCTTCGTCGACATTCTCCCCAATGGTGCAGGCTCGCAGGTTTCGCAAAGTCAAGAATCAACGTGTTCGGGTTGAGTTGCAGTGATACGCATTTACATAAGTAAACTGGTTTCCTTCCGCGCAGGCGCCTTGTGTCTTTGGCGCTTCGACCCTCGGTCGGCCAACGTTTTGTTGGACCCATCACGTCCCCTACAGGCATCTCAGAACCCACCCTCAGGCGACGCTCTATGGATAATTCGTTTGCATCTTTCCCGTCCAGTGTCTTACCTGAACACACGCGACGGACTCGTGTAACGTTTCCATTGCAGTAGACATGATCATGATCACGTCCACACCCTGGAAGGCGACAGTGAAACTCTGGCGAGAGCCTTTTTAGTTCGGAATCCATGCTGAATGTACAAGTGGACGGTGTGGCACGACAACGTAAAGTACGAAGGAGGCCCATGCCCCCCAGACGTGAAGTAGATGCTTTCGTATTTCGTATTCTATATTCTCATGCGCCGGTGTGAGGGGACTTACAGCTCCCCGATGGCATGGTCGAGCTCCTCGGGCAGCTCGACGCCATAACTGACGATGCTCTGCACCTCTCGGCGAAGGAGCTCGACGGTCGGAGGTGACCCCGCGCCGTTGCCTTCCAGAGCGGACAAGGCGGACAAAGCCAGGTGCGTGGACGTTTCCTTTGGAGAGGTGACCAGCGCCTGCCGCGGATCCATCGCATGTCAAACGGCAGTTGCACGAATCAGCCAAGCGCATGACACGTACCCAACCCAGCCTTGTCCCGATCGAAAGCGCCCCACCGTTCGTCCCTGAGTACCTGCAGCGCGTGTGCGTTCTTGACGAACAGGTCGACGACGACGGGGCACGGAGATGGTTCTTGAACGCCTGCTTCTCCTCCTCTCCGCGCGTCTTGTAGACTCGCTGGAGATGGATGTGATTGGAGGTGTCGGATTTCATGTCGGGAAGGGTGGATGTCGAATCTCGGATTGGGCGGTGAACTCCTTGAGCGCGGCGAGGAGATGGAAGAACGGAGAGGGATTCTGACGGAGGGCTTCGGGCGATATGGAGGAAACTTCAAATAGTGTGGCGATCTCGGAGGAACCTGGAGCGGCGGGCTGGGGCTGAGGCTGGGGATGAGAAACGGTCATGGGAGGCGTACCTTGGTCTTTGTCCAACAACGGTACGCTTGGGCTTCGGCTTCGTCAAAGTTTGAACCTTGATTCTCATGGCGGGGATGAGCTTCTTGAATTTTTGCCACTCGGTGTGCGTCTTGCGTGATTGTCCACCGTGCTGAAGTGGGCGGGTGTGAGGTTGAAATACATGAAAGAGCGCGAACGTACGCAATTCTCGCACTCTTCGAGCACACGGACGAGGATAACGACGTAGGAAATGTGATCGTGTTCGATTGGGTCCAACGCGTCAAAGTCGAGGATTGGCGCGTGATCGCGGAGGCTGGGAACGGCTTGTCGATGCGAAGGACGGGGCGTTTTCGGAACGATTCTCAATGACTGCAGGACGTGCTCAGTTCAATCGGAAACGATAATCAGGCATGCATGCTCACTAGTGTGGTGTGTTTGTGGAAAAGAAGAACTCGGCGAGAAAGCCGGCGGAATGCACAGAGCCATGTGGTGTCGGTGCCGAGCACGGTGTCGAGGGTTCTGGAATCTGGTGTCGGCATGCCAACCGAGTCTGACGTTGCCATTGAGCTCTACGAGCAATGGGACGGCCTCGGCAGCTCTGTTCTTCTCAGTGCGTCCAACAAGTTATTCCTGGCGTCTGCATACGATGGTCGAGGATGGTCATTGGTGAAGTGCCAGTGGCAATTCCCCGGCTGGGCCCCATCAGTACGTTCCTCCAAGTTCAAATTTGGTTTGGAAATGCACCGCCCGCCTAGCTCAATCGGATAGAGCGTCAGACTCTTAAGAACCTAGGCAATCTGAAGGCTGCGAGTTCGACCCTCGCGGTGGGCTAATTGTTTTTATTCCACTCACCCACCTTTGCTTCCTTTCTTTCTGCTCCCTCTAGGCAAGTTCTCCAACAGGCGTATGGTAAGCATTCATAAACCGTGGATCGTAAGTAGGTCCATACACGTAATTACGGAGTGACGCCATCCTCAACACGTAATACCCCAATGGTTCCAGCTCGCAATAACCCTGGGTTCCTCAACATTCATTCCGCCTCCTTCCCTCTACATACTCATCGATACATCGTATCGTATCGACGGATCTAAATTACGCGACTGCATCCCCGTTGCCCCGACTTTGACTGGCCACAGGGGACCCGAGTACTCGGCGCGATCATATCATACACCATCATCGTCCTTCAAGTTTGCCCATATAAACGACTCCATCGTGCAATAGTTTTGTCGTACTGACTGCTACCATCGTGACGGGCGCGATCCCCCTCTCGTGCGCATGTCGCACGGTCGGCGGCCTCGTCTGCCGTGTCTGCAGAAATGATGTGGGTGTGGATCGTTCTCATCCAGCGGCTCTCTACCACAGGCCATGTGAGAGCAGCGTCAGAGGACACTAGCCAGAAGACATTGTAGGAGGGATCGATGCTTCGAGAGTCGTTCCTGCGGGTCAAACCGAGTGGCGGGCCTTCCACCATACTTTCTGAAATGTACTGCTCATACCCCACATAAGCATTGCTTGGCTCTGGTTTCACGTGCGTCGTCACCCCAGGCTTGGTAATCTGGGCCTTCACATGGCACAGGTCCCCCGTAGGAGGACGGAAAGGGTCAAAGGAAGATAGTTGTTCCTCCTTCCACTCTGGGTACGTGGCGGTCGTTGGTAATTCGACGTTTGATACGTTGGATGCTCATTTCCTTTGGGTTACCCTCATATACCCAAGCGTACCTCCGTTCCCTTCGATTCTTCTCCAACGAAACGGGCCGAGCCGTTGAGATCCAAATCGGAGGCACGAGAACATGACCAACTCGAAACCTGAGCCGAGCCCAAACCCTACCCACACTATGACCCGTCCCGTGTGATGTTGGACCCATCGAGACCCACGAACATGCACATCGCATTGACTGAACCACCGTGTGCACGCGACTCACCAACACCACTGCCACTGCCAACGCCAACGCCAGTCCGAGTCCAGTTCACGGGTCGCCGGTGGCCTAGACGTTCCAGGAAGCACCCTGCTAAGTGCCGGGTATCTGATCCGCCGGAAGCACACGGGATTCTGAAGATTTCTGAACGCCAAGAACGGGATGGTCCGAGATTATCCATGTGGGTGCGTGGGGTGAGTGACAGGTGAATTGACAGTGAGAAGGGGAAGGGTTGTCCCGGGCCTCCGCCGAAATCCGCCCGCCCGCCCTCTTTCCGAGTCCCCTTTGATCGTGACGACCCAGTCTTGATATATTGATGATCATTGAATATGGTTGCCCTCCCAACACATGTGCACGATAGCAATCCATGCCAGCGCATTGAAACGAGCCGCATAGCCAGCCAATCTGAAAACACCCGAAAAGACACCTCATATTGCCCGATCAAGGAAACGTACAACAAACAAGAACACTGTAAAACGGTCAGCAGTAATACCCTACGAAAAATGAACAGTATCGTAAAAAAAACCAGAAAGAAACATTGAAAACATCTACGCCACCGACGCCTATATGCGAGCGGAAAAAATGTATGTCGTTTTTATCGTGGAATGAACGTCGTTGTCGTTGCGATATGAAAATGAGGGGAGTGAACGAATGAAATGCCAAATAGGAATGAGTGAACGAGCGCAATCATGTCGCGTGTATGATGCATAATGAGATGAAAGGATGGGAGTAAACGAGAAACATATACTACCAGAGGGATGAGGCTAACTCGAAAATGATCGCTGCATGATCGCTGCATGATTAACCATGGGACCTAGACCTGCGAGGCATCCACACACATAAACACCTAGAAAAACCAAGGCACAAAAAGGATCTTGTGCAAGCGGAAGAGAGCGCACAATGAAACGGCGCACGCAGGGCTTTACCTTCAGAACCGGAGCACCTCAGATTCCCAAACCTCTGGAAATGGATACCACATCGCAGGAAGCGGAGAAAGCTTCATCTCCCCATCTTCGGGTCCAGTTATCGCGTAATCAAGCCACGCGTCTTGATACCGGTGGGTGCCCGTTCGCTTGCGATATTCGAACCCTACTTTTCGAAGTGACTTGAAGCCACGCGCAAAAAAGGCGGCGCACTCTTGCCGTACAACACGCCACGATTCCATGTCATCTATCTCGTCATATTCCGGGAATTGCATGCAGAGCCGGAGGTCGCGCAGAGAAGAGAGGGGGGAGAGAGCTTCGAGATATTCCTGCTGTGTGCGACGCAAGATGAAAACAACGTTTCCAGGGTCAGTATCCTGTTCCAATAATCACCGCAATCAATAAGGCCACAGTGGCAAAAGCCGGGAGAAAAAGGGGGCAGGGAGGATGGGAGGGAGGAAGAGCGGACGTACACAGGAAGCCACGGACTTGCCATCGTGGTAGCCACACCGCTCTATCTCGAGGATTTCCAGTTGGGGACAGTGAACAGAGATCAAATGACATATGGCTGGCGTGAGTTTGTCTTCAATGATGATACGGAGATGCTTTAGAGGGCAGTTGCTTGCACCGATATCCGCAAGTACACTCTCGATTTGGAGTTGTGAGAGCGCGATGGGCCACCGAGGGAGATCCACGAGAGCCATGATGGCTAGCCGCCGGAGATTCGTCATGTGGTTAAAAACGCCATCGAGAACGCAAGCATTCGAAATGGCGAAACTGTCCAAGGAAGCGAGCTTTTCCAGATTTTCTGGGTCGGCGAGGAGGTGTGGATCGAGCAGGCGAAACTCTTGTGATTTCGTTTGAGGGAAAAGCAATCGGAAATCGCGCAACACGGGCATCCTGTGTAACACGTCAAAGAGACGAGGGATGGAATGGACCCTAGCGGGAGTTGTATTGGGGTGAAATAAGAGGTTCAAGTTCGAGTTCGGGATTCGACCATGGAGGACGAATGTCGAGAGCGCGGGCCAGTCGATCGTGGCGAGACCGGTGAAGGCAGTTAAATCACCTGATAACTCCAAGTGGGTAAGAGTAGGGGCGTGCTGGCGCAAAAAGACTCCGGAGGATCGTATTTCCCTGTAACCACGGAGGTTGGCCTGGGCTCTGTATTTTCTCCGCCAGTCTCGCATAAAGTAAGTGATGTCTGCGAATTTTGGATCGGTGGGGCCGTCACCGATACGTAGGGTCTGGCCCACGGGAGTGAGATTTATCCGGCGGAGTGGCGCAGGGTAGAATTGCATGAGACTTTGATCGATTGGGGTGTCGATCAGCGTAAATGAGGAGAGAGAGCGACACTGGGCAAGGGCATCGTAGAGTGCCTGTGGCGGGAGAAATGGGGTGCTCAATGTTACTTGGGTGAGTTTTGGCATACGTGTGATGGCATGGATGACGATGTCCATGTGGTATGGACAATAAATGGCCTCGCGATCCAAGTAGCCGTAGCGGATACGACCAGGTTCTGTCCACTCGTCATGCCAGTCAAGACGGAAGTGTCTTTTCGCGTGGTGATAAGAAAAATAAATGCAATAAAATGGGGAAGGAGATCACGGACCTGATGTACGCCCAGAGAGTGTCGGGGTAGAAAAGGAGGCCATGCTCTCTGTCTGCTTTGGATCTCTGCGGCCATCGGACGTCTGCGAAGAGAAAGGGGAGACAGGCCTGGCGAACGTGGCGGGATGTGGATGCAAGGTGGAGAAGCGAAGGAGAGACAGAATCTCTGCCGGTTGGGAGGAGGTGGGTGATGACGAGGGGGAATATGTCTGCGATTAGAGACATGAGTGACCCGACCGAGTTTCGCTCGAGACTGGGAGAAACCTGTGGGAGAACCTATTTGAAGTTATGGCTGTAGGAAGAAGATTGGGCAGCATGCAGGCAGAGGGCAGAGCTGGCATCAGCAGGGCAGGGTCGTAAATATGTCGATCAGTCCAATTCACTCGGGCCTAGACCGTGCCTAGACTCATACATCCCCTTACGAGATTATAACCGCGTGTTCATCCCACAGCCATCCAGTACTACCCCGAGCTACATTCATTTCACTGAGACGCATATTTCTCCGTCCACTCTCGGCTCACTCGCTGCGCATCCTTCTCGTTCTCCTTGTAGTGCTTGGCCACATCCGTCGCGAGCGGGTCGTCCGGGTTTGGTGCGCTCAACAGCGCCTGTATCGACAGCAACACAGTCCGGATTTGCAGTGCCGGCGACCATTTATCTGTCTCAGCGCGAATCACGGTCCGTTCTGTCCGCAGCATAGTCTCACACACCTTTCAGAATGTCCAGACAGATGCGCCCCAGTTTATCTATAGCCGCAGTCGGGGATTATAATTATGTGAGCATCCGGAAAGTAACAAGGCCACGCCACCCAGACGTAGCACATGCACCTCGTGTTCCAAGCCGACTCACCAATATTGGGATGGTATATCTTGGTCAGGAACCGTACTTTGGGGGGGCTCATGGGATACTCCTCGGGAAGGAACAGCTCTAGATGAAACACACCCTCTATTCCAGCATCAGAGTGTAGCATCGTCCGCCCGTCTGAAAGACATCACTCACGTTGAAAGGGACTCCCATCAGGTCCTTGGATCGTCACATCAAAGTATCGCAGGTTGTCTTCGTGCGGGGCCGCCGTGATCCCTGGGGCGGGGTCTGCGACAAGGCGCTCAGTTTCCTAGCCATGCCAGTTCACACACGGCAGATGCACGAGGTCAGCGGTGCGCGTAACACGACGTCCACATGCCGATGCATAACTACCTTGATGATTCGCTAGATCAACCGCCCGCGGACATCAGCTTGCCATAATACCACACAGAACGTAATCCACACCTTTGGAAGGGCCATATTTAGGGCGTAAACGAGTGTCGTGCGCGGCAGGTGTCACAGTACAGCGAGCGACAAGGTGCACTGCCCCGCGAAGATCCCCTCGGGTGCTCCCGAAGCG